AGCCACAGTTTTTCTGCTAGTTTGTGATCCTGCAGTCTTAAAGCCCCCCATGTGTATTCCCAGTACACAGCAGGCAGCAGGGAGACAGGACCTTCTTATGCTAGAGAAAGTCTCTGAGAGCAAAGCAGTCCTGTACAAATGCCCTTTTAGGGCTGGCTATGGTAACTGAAGGAAGTGCTGCTTGTAGGGGATGACTGGAGCCTTGAGTTCAGGTTCCTGAGTGACTTCTGGTGAGTGGGCTAGGGCTGAATTGACATGACCTGGTTTCTCCTGCTGTCCCAGAGCCCTGGTAGCATCTGTATGGCAGAGAAAAGCTCTGGACTAAAGGCTTTGCAGTCAGGGCTTTTTGGTTTTACTGTGCTTTCAAGTAAGGGTTGTGGTACTTCCCTCAAACCCCCAGGTAAATGCATTGCTGTGGGAGAGGTGCTTACTGGCAACAAGCCCCCTCCTTCCCTTCTCCATGCCTGCAACATGACCTTCCACTCCTCAAAGGGATCTAGAGCAGGAAACCAGATTCCTGAGGTGAGAACTGCGTTGTTACACAAAGTATGGGAAGGTCCGTTTCACCTAAATCGCAAAAAACTAAAAAATCCATGGGATGTAAAAAGACCCCCTAGAATAAGACAGGCCTTTATGGCCAAATGAAATATGCAGTTCTATTATCCCTGGTGAATGCAGTCCGTAAGAGTCACACTGTATTTTTTACTCCTGTGGATGAATGTGTTTTCATCAGCAATGTACTCGGTTGTAAAATATGCATCCCCAACTATCTGCTGTGCTAAAGATTTCATGAAAAAGGCTTGAAGATGTTTTCTAATGCAAATCATACTGATCAGATAAATGACACGCAGTGTCTCCTGTAATTATCAGCAAGAGTTTTTACAGTACGTCTCCTGTTTTTCTCTAGGCCACGTATTTGATGTTAGGAGACAGCCAAGCAGGTGTTCGACTCGCTCGTGCCCTCCAGAATTCCTTAAATGACCTCTGGAAGCACTGGAGTGAAAACAGTCTCAGCATGTCAAAATTTTGAGATATCTCAGTTGCTGTAATTCTTTTAAGGCTGCCTGGACGTCTCTAAAATATAAATCTTTCCTAGTTATTGGCAATGAGTGAGGAGTTGTGACGTACCATATGCGAGCGTGCAGTCAAGATGTACGACCTCCCTGTGCTGCCCTGTGACTCCCGGCCTCGTAAGAGTTAATATTTCTTCTAAAAAATAATTATCTGTTTTAAACTATTATAACTACCTGACCTCTTTCCCTGAATGTAAGTATTTCAACCATCTGCTGAGTCAGGCAATATAGCATTCTGTGCTTTTGGGAGGCTGTGATGGTTGCTTAGACAACAGTGACATAATATTTAAGCATAATGGCTCTCGAGAAGATGCTGTCCCCTTCTCCCTGGATGAACTTCTCTGGAAATGCAAATCCAATATGCTCTTAAAAAAAAACAAGAGAGGGATGAAAAGGGTTTGTGTCACCATCTTTCTTAACCATCTCCCCACATCCCACTTGAGAGGTGAAAGTATTGTACTTCTCTTAGAATCTTGTAAGATGTGCTAAAATTACAGGCTGAGTAGATACCCGTTTTAGAGAAGCAGAAAAAAAATACCTCTTTCAGTAGTCAGTGCTTATTTCAAGACTTATACAACATTGTGTCTGGGAACGTTGGTCCATTGGACCACTGACCGTTGATTGGTCAGTGTCCATTAAGGTCCATCCGAGATAGATCTGATTCCTGAGCTGGGCTGAAATCTGTGCCAGTTGTTTTCTCATCCTGCTGTAGCAGGAAAAAATGGTAATTAAAGACTTAACCGTGCAATGGAGATCTTATAAACATATCACTTCAGAGCATAGCTAATACACGATGAGTTGATTTTTGTATATATATATATATATATATATATATATATATATGTGCTCTCTAAGCCATGTGGGTGGTTTTTCATGTTTACACAGAGATATAATTATGAATGACATGAAGGTTATACAGCAGATTTCTTTAATCTTCTAAAGGTTTGTTAGTCATGTGTCACCGTGTACCTGGTTTTTATTTATTCAACATCTGTATTCTCTGGAAGGGCTGTGGCAGTAGGTGCACAGTGGTTGATACAGAATGGCTGCGGGGGCTCCTCTGGCTGGCAGAGCCCTGCAAGGTTCCAGAGCAGCTTTTGTTGTGACACAGGGCTTAACCAAAAAGGAGAGGAACCCTTTTGTCACCTGCTGCTCAAAAAATACGTAATGAAAATAAAAACCACAGTAGTTTAGGTCTGAGTGCTTGGAAAGGTTGCTTAGGAATGTGCGAAAGCTTGACAAGGCACATTGAAATTCCAGAGCTGGTGAAGTAGCTGGGTGACCTCTTGTTTGGGTGGCAGAGGGACAGGTGACCTCTTGTGTTAGCAGACTACCAAGATAAGGGGAAGACAGCCCCTCTGGAGCTACCTGGGGCTTGGGCTCCTCAGAAAGCAGGAGCTGTGGCCACCTACCATGCCTTGCTGGGTGGCAGTGTTTGTATGATGAGGTGTCAAGGTGGAATTGTCTCTGGAGATGCGGCTCCTCACTGGTGAGATCCGTATTGGCAGCGGCGCTCGGAGGAGGACTGCGGTCTGACTTGTGACCTCTGTGGTGTTTGAGGAGTTGGGAAGGACAACTCTTGTTCTCTCTGAATTGGGCCAAAAATGAGCAGAGAGAGGGAGAGAGCAGGTGTGTTCAGTCCCGCTGTAGGACGGACGGGGAGACCCAAGGCAGGCCCTGAAATGCACTGGGTAATTTTTCCATTTCCTGGGTAAAAGTGAACTTGGCTGTGTTTCCCTGGTGCAGCCGGGGTGATCCCTGGTGGTACAAGGGGTGAACAGGGATTTGGGGACCAGCTGGTTCCCCCTCCATGGCAGCCCGGGCAGAGCCAGTGAGTGCACCAACATCGCTTCACCCTTGTTACAGTAGGGTGTTGTCTTGTTTTTTTTTTAATTCCTTTTTTTTCTTCCTGTGTACACATCATGTGCATGTGTGCGAAGGTTGTATTCTCGAAAACAAGTTTATTCATTGATGATGTAACAGTGATTGTACTTTTCTTTTGGTTAATAAATTGTCTGCTCAACTTACTTTGTATGCCAGCCAAAATTAGTCATACCAGTTCTTGGAAAGGATATGAAGAAACTAGTAATTGAAATCATAATCATTTGATCATGAGAGCTATTTGGAAAATAATATTTTAACTAAAAACATGTCTGATCTCCAAGTCAGGATTTTTTTTTAAACTGCTGCTAAATAGATTTCTCTAGTGTGGAGTATTAGAAATTGTGTAGTAGCTGGTGATGGTATTCAACACCCTAAAAGAGGACTTCATCCAGAAATTGCCGAGACTGTCTGCAGGCAGTCTGATATTTATATATATGTATTATTTTTTTCCATCCTGACATTTAATAATCACCATGTAATAGCTATAAAATGCATAGCAACTACAGCTTTTTTATTTCAAGTGGATGGTGTAATGAAATTGGGTGAAACCATCCATTGAAATTGTGCTTTGTAGTACCCAGTGCTTGTTTACAAAGTATTGACGTTTGTCATAAACAGAGATTTAAAGCATCACTGTTATTGTTTGTTGTTTGGTGGAAGCTGTGCAGCGATAATGGAAAAGATTTTATTACAAGCTTGCTTAGCATAGAAGCATGCTGTTCATTTCTGACCAAATATTTGTTATTGCACTAAATGTAATGAAGGTGCCTGCTTATAAAACAGTTTTGTATTATATAAGGGAGAGTGGAATATCAGATCTGGTTTTTTTACTAGAGATATTTCAGTATTGTGTGCAACTTGTCACAATAAAGCTTTTTTTTTTTTTTCTTTTCCATTGAGCAGTATTTTATTTCCTGAGGAATGTGTTCAGTGGACAAAAAAAACACACAGAGAGAATCAATCATGCTTTCCTCTTTGTTTAATAACGCAAAGAATTTCTCTCCCCTTTGCAAATACTTTTGTTTATTTGAGAGAAGAATTGGATTCTGGTTTATTTATTTCAAGAACCTGTAACCTTATTCAGTGCTAGAAATGCGTGGTGTGCAAGGTGTAGTGTGCAGCCAGCTCCTGTTACAACATAAATTATTTCTGCTGTTTTAACCAAAAAATCTGGAGTGTATCTTGCTGGGTATGTATGTTTGTTTGGTTTTTTTTTGAGGCTTTCTTGATCCCTTGCTCACTGGAGTCAGCTGTAAAACATCCTGCTTATTCATCATGACTGAGAGGAGTTGATTGTTTCCTGGAAGGTTAAAATCCAGCAATTAGGGCTGTTTTATTTGAGTATATGTTCTGGAGGCTAAACTAAGTTTAAGTGCTTTTCTTAGACTGTATGTTTTAGACGGGAAAAAAATTACGGTTCTGATCTTGAAAAAGGTTTTAAGAAACATGAGAATGTGCAAGTTTCTTTTGGTGGGAAGCACATAACATTTATGTAGTATTTCTTTTGGGATTACATCACAGTTTTATTTAATTTTAAGGACAAAAGTTAAATTCAATATTTGTATTTAAGCCAAGGGAAAATGTACCATAAACACAGGAATTTTCTGGTGAGTCAGAGTTCCAAGAATCTGAGATTTACTTAGTCCATTTATTTCAGGACTAGCTATAACCATTAGTCATCCAGCCATGAATTTTTACATTTGCAGCTAATTGCACCTAAAAAACAAACTTTCCCTCAGGGCTTTGGGTTATACAGGATGTGATTTGGCAACCTGCATTCCAAATGCCTTTTAGGATCATTGCCCTGGTCCTCGAAATTGTCTTTAGATCATGTATATTTGCTTCCAGTAAACAACTAATATTTCCACTTTAGATGGCAAGAGGAATAAATTAAGTACTAGCTATTCTGTAACACAGAAAAATTACTCAGCAGCAAGATATGCTTTTCCAGGAGTCAGTGTGGGGCGGTGTTACGGGTTTGTCAGTCCTCGTGGAGCCCAGAGTGACATGTTGTGTTCTCATTTCACTGCCTCTTGCAGGATGAAGTTATTGCTGTTTCAGAAAAAGTTACTGTGAAACTTGAGGATTTGGCAAAATGGGCACAGTCCGATTTCTCCAAGTGGAAGTGTGGTTTCCGGGCTGAGCCGGTCCAGCTGATGGATGTGGGGAAGAATGGGCAGAAAGAGGCCTTGACAAGATACAGACAATCCACACTCAACAGCGGCTTGAACTTCAAAGACATCCTGAAGGAGAAGGCTGACCTCGGTGAGTATCCCTTACTTTCTCCTGTGGGGAGGGGCCTGTGGGTGAAAGTCTTTTGAAGACAGATGAGCCGATCCTGCCATGCCATCCCCGATTCCCAAGGTACGTCAGAGCCTGGGGCGGAGGTGTGGCGATGGGATACCTGTGTGGGATGGGTGGTGGTGGTGAGCTCATCGCAGACTCCTTCGAGACTGGCATGGGGTAACTCTGTGATACCTGTCTGCTCCCTAGACATGTCCCCAAGCACTATGGCTCAGACCCTGAAGATGTGCACACAAATAATTGTCACTGTGGAGAGAGGAGGCTGGTACGTCTTCTCAAGGCCTCCTACAACAGGCAGGGGCGAGCAAAGGCCTTTTACTTTTCCTGTCCCATCTTCTGGAAGCTCAGAGATGCTCCTGATGCTTGCCCTGCTCCTGTACGGTTGGCTCTGTGTCTTGTTCAGTAGGGAGGTGGCCCTTCTATGGCGTTTCCTTGTCAGCTTTATCTTACTACACAACATAGGGCTCTGCAAGCACCCCACTGTTGTCTCCTGTAGTTTCTTTCCCTGTCTGTTTTTTTGGGATGGGAAACAGTAGCTCTGCTACTTTGGATGGTTGCAGACAGGCTTGCAGCTCTGGGGCTCCTTTGGTGCACAGACACTCATACCTCTAAAATCTGTGGTGGGATCCAAGGTCCAAGGGAGATGGATCGATCCTTTGTTGGTAAAAATGCCTGTTTGTGGTATTAGGCCCCTGGATGCATAACAGCTGCCAGAGATGGCACTTCGAAGTGCGTACCAGGGACATTTCTTTCTTGTGCCAAGCTTTTAACAAATGTTCCATGTTTGAAACAAGTTTAGGCTGTAATTTGTGGAAAGGTAAGAAATTAAAAGCTAAGGCTGATGCATTTGAGGAAATGGTTTTGTACCTTCATGAACAGGAGGTGCAGAGCCAAGTTCAGTTTTGTAGTGTCACGACTGTGTTGGCATTGAGACCCAAGTTACATGAAGCTGAAGATCTGTCTTGGAGGATTTATCTTCTGCATCTCATTTTTCTGATCTTATCAAATGGTGAAGTGATTTTGTCAATGTCACGTTTCACCATTAGATATGTAGGTTGGGAGATTAAAGTACAATTGAAAGTTGATCTTATTTTTCATTACATGTCCAGGAATTAAAAAATAATCCATGCAATTCTTTATCTTTTCCTTTGCTTTTCTGTGTGGTTTCTTCTGGTTCATAATTACGTGCAGTAATTTTCTCTTGCTATTGCCCTGGTATGTTCTTTACACACTACATTTATTTGCATTTGTTTGTTGTGTCAGAAGAATCTTAATGTTTTTCAGACAGAACTTTTGTGTGCTAGTGTTTTCTTGTTTTTGTTTTCAACAAACAAAAAAACCCTTGTGGTAAGTTACGAAATTGCTATTATCTACTCTAGGAGCCAAAGAAAATTATCTTTAAGCCTAAAGCTTATAGTTGCATGTTAAGCCTTTCAAAGTATGGGTTATACTGAAAATGTTTATGGAATGTGAACTGTACGGTATAATTTTGATAACCCCACATTCTGATGTTGCTCATTTTCAGTTGGTGGCTCTGGCTTTATTGTTGGGTTGTGCTTTTTCAGTAGAAAACAGAATTTTGGCTAATGTTTGATTATGATTGCCTTTATCTTTATAATGACCGGTTGATGAGAAGTGAAGCCAAAGGTTCAAGGAGACATAAAGCTGACCAGATATGTTGATATAGACAATTGATCTAGCCTTTTAAAGGCAGTAAAAGAAATTTCTTAAATTTAGTAGTGAGATGATTTTTTAACTATTTGAAAGACCCAAGAATTTAAGCGTATTTTGCTTCCTGGATCTGACAAGAATTCAAAAGAATGGTGATCTTCAAAGCTTGTGAAGCAGCTTGGTTTGGTTGTGTCCTGTAGGCAACCCATGAGCTCTGGTGTTTGTCTCAACTGTGAGACGGAGGTTTAACACCCACCAGATGAAGATTTACTTCTCTCATTCTGGTTGGTCAAGGTTGACATTGTGCTTTGGGAATCGTCATCTCCCAAGCTGTAGACATGGGCAGCAGCACAATGTGCAGTGTCCAAGGCACAGGGATTTGGGCTGCTGGTGTTGTCTCTTCCCTGCTGTCAGAAAGGCAGGTTTACTGCGCGTTACGACGTGTGCCCGCAGACCTTTTCCAGTACTCAGCATCTTGCCAGTGGAGCAGCACTCAGCTGCAGTGTGATCAAAAGATTTATTAGCAATAACTTTTGCAGCAGGTCTCCAGCACAATCAGATGGGGTAGTTTTTCTCATACTGTGAGGGAGCACAGTGCACTGTCGTGCAAAGGTCCCTCTGGTGATGCTCATGTTTAACCCTGGCTGTAGATGAGGAAGTTGCTGAACCAGGTGTTGAAAAGGCCTAGAAAAACAACGTGATCTCCTGGACCCATTTTTTCCTATGAAACGACATGTTTCCATTACAGAAAAATCCCATAGAAGTGAGTAGATTCTGCAGTTTTTCCTGCTAGATGTTTTTGAATCGAGCTCTAGAAGGTAGTAGGAAATTATATCCCTACCGAAGAGCTCAAAAAAACTTTACAGAAGAAACAAAATTATTTTTCACACACTGTCCAGGAGTGGGGAATAGTGAAATAACTCGGATGAAATGAAAACATGGCCAATGCAGAACCAGAAAAGTGTCACTGTGCAAACATACTTAATTAAACACGCTGCTGGGAGCAGGGCAGCTCCAAACAATAACCAGGCAAAGTGAGGCATCGTGAGCAGTGTATGCCCTGTGCCATGCGCTCTGTGGCACTTGCTGAGCCAAAACTAAGGCAGCCCTTGGTTAATCCACAACCTGGAGAAACCATGCACCTATAATTGAAAGTTGACCCTAATTCAAATGAGGTAGTTCTGTCCCCTTTTTTGTTCTCTCTTTTATCTCTTTTTCTTTTCTCTTTTGTTTCTCTTTCTCACTCTTTTCTCTTTTTTTCCCTTCTTTCTTCTTTTCTCTTTGCCTCTCTTTTCTTCAGAAACTGTGGAGTTTTTTTCTGTAAAATGCCATTGTTTTTATCCCTAGTGAATTATGCAGAACTTTTCCTTAGGACTGTATTAAATAAAAGATCTTGCAATGGCATTTTTTTGTATGAGCTTCAAGATTTCAACCTGAAAAATGATTTTTGAGAATTATTTCTTTCTGCCTGTTGAGATATTTATGTTATACATTCTATCCCTTTCTACAAATATGTCAATATTGAATGCTAGCAGTTTATGTCTTAAGACTATTTATAGCTTTCTGAATATTTCTTTCTAATGTTGAGAAAAATAAAGAGTAACAACAATGCAGCATATAAAAATAGAGTTGCTCAGGAATGTATTATTCATAATGAACATGAGAACCTGTTTTTCCAGAAGAATTGGTCTGATAAAATCATTCAGTACTAAGGCCGCTAGTTATTTATTTTTGTCTTTAGAATTATTTAGGGGATTTTTCTTTGTAATAAATGGACTTGTATATCCATATTTGGTAAACCAGTGGGAAAGCACCAAATGAGGAATTATTTCATTTTACAAAATTTCTAGCAACTAAGCAATGTAAACACTATCGGTTAAATATGGCAAAGTTGCATATTTGTATTCCTTGGGCTATAGTTAAAAAAAAAAATTCAAATTATTTTATATAACACTACTTCTTACAGACTTCCTTTAAGTGAAGTATGAAAGCTGCAGTGTAAGCTTTATTGGCCTATAAATATGTCATTATAGTTGGACTACATTTATATGCTTTGGATTGTTGTTTAAGCCAAGAAAATATGTCTCTACAGGTTGACTTTTTATTGAAACCCTTTGAGGCATACAACAGAATGTATTTTAGGCCAAGGTTATTAAAACAGCATTTTCATTTTTGCAGCAGACTCATTGTCAATTATGCTGCCACAAACTGTCTGTGGATAGGCAGTTATGAATGGTTTCATCTCTAAATGTGTCTTTAGAAAAAGAAATAAAAGATAGAAGAGTCAGAGCTGAAATTGAGAGAAGAGACTGAGAGAAAAATGACTGAATTTAGTGCTCTGGTGGTTTGGGTTAGGCTGGGCTGCGGTGCTGCCTGGGCGTAGCCAAGGAACAAGTGGTCCCTGTGCCTGAGGTGGGAGCTGCTGCCCTGGCTAGGAGTCTGCATCCGTCTGGTTCTGTCCTGACAGGAGTCTAGATTTGGTTCCCAAGCTGGCATTGACACTCTTTTCACCCATTTTTTATGGCTGTCATGCCAAAATGGACAGTTTGAGGTTGCTGTGCATCAGGCACTCCTGTTCCTGCACTGGCAGTGTTAGTAATGGGGATAAGCAAGTTCTGGTGCTTACTGAAGGGGTTTTGCTGCAGTTATTTCTTGTTTGTTTGTGTCCACTGGGGGGAAACATCAATAAAATTTAGCAGCCAGTCCTGTCCTGTCTTTCATTTCCCACAGTCGTGTGTTTGAGGGTATAGAATCTGGATCTTTGTTCCCTGTGAAATCCATGGAAATCAACTACTGCTTCTAGCTGAGGTGTATATTCTAGCAGTCACCTTTTTCTAGTCCCTAGGTGGCTTTCCAGCAGTTGTTTCCTGCTTCTCTTGAAGTAGCTCTTTTGTACTCTCCAGCAGAGCTTGCTGGGCAGGGCTGGATGCTGCAGGACTGGGTCACCCTCCCATTTCCTTCTCCATACCAGTCTTACAATTTGCATATCATCACTTGGAAGATCACAGCTCCTCGTTGGATCTTGTGTTGCTGTAGAAATGGTCTGATCCATGGCAGATTGCAGTGAGTTTGGAAGGACCAGCAGAGCAGGGATGAGCTGTCCTGCAGGAAGGTGCCAACCCCACGGCTGCCAGCGAGCACTGGGCTGCTGGATAGCCCTTCTGACTTCACTTGCCAGTGGCCTTGAAGCAGGCATGGCTTCTCCAGATGAAGGTTCCCCAGTCATAATGTAGTTAAACTGTGATATTATCGAAACTGATAATCTGCAGCTGTAGTGTGCTCAGACACTT